CTACTAGAATCTGCACATTAAAGAAGTGAAGTTTGACATTAAATACAGCACTTCTACTGAGCTTACTCACCAGTGACGCTGAGTCAGTATGAAGGAAACAGAGGGTAGAAATGTTAGTGTCTGTTCTGGTGCTGAAGGTCCACTCCAGGGTGATGTTCTGGTTCTCCTCTGCCTGATATGAAGCCTGAGTCACATTCACTACAAATGTTCCTGTGGAGGAGACACAGAGGGACTCTTTAAACTGCAGCTATGTTCCTGTGGAGGAGACACAGAGGGACTCTTTAAACTGCAGCTATGTTCCTGTGGAGGAGACACAGAGGGACACTTTAAACTGCAGCTATGTTTACTGAGAACAGCTTTAAAGAGACAAACTAACCAGAGACACAGGAGGTGAGGAAGAGGAGCAGCAGGATGATGAAGATCATCTTATATATCAAGCCCTATCGTCGATTTCCAATGATTAATGTAATTGTTTGCCTGTCTGGCCATCGTAATCGGGCTCTTTGAAGATCCAAAAATCCACGTTTTTCAAACATTTCTTGACATGACTTTTACTTGTAACAGAGTATTTCTTTACTCTGTCTGGCACTTCTACTTTTACTCAAATACAAGATCTGAGAAGTAGACCCACCTCTGCGCATTGATACATATTCAAGGGAACAAAATGTAAAGGGAGAGAACGAGAGGGAACTTAAACTGAAGGAAAACTGTATGTATTTTGAACATAATAGATTATGATCAGTACTCACTATAAATTATAGCTTTACCAATAATAAATAAATAGGATTTATTGAATTCCGCTGTTTAATAACTATTACCAAAAGTGTTGGTGTCAAAGCTGTCTTTTATTCAACCACTAGATGGCAGCAAATGTATTGACTCTGTGATATTCAGTGCATTTAGTAGAAAGATTAAGATGAACACTAGCTGTTTACCCAGAATATATGTTATTATTGTTGGTACAAATGCATACCATGCATGTCAATATATAATACCAGATTGGATGATGATGCTTTACGATTTAGAGGCACATTTATTAGAATGGCCCCAATAAGATAACTTCACATTTTAGATATGAATAGACATCAGGACAAAATATGACATAAAATATAAATATTAAGGCAATAATATAATTTAAGTAAAAATGTAATTCGAAGAATAGAATGTCATACAAAAACTAATCAATCAATTAATTTGTTTAAAAATGGACAAAATTGAAAAAGTAGTGGCAACAAAATGGCTTTATTAGAGGGAAATCAGTGTTGGGGCAGACTTTTTTGTTTTGGGAGTTTGTTACATTTTTATAATACAACAATACAATTCATCTAAGATGTTATTTACAGAGTGGAAAATGTGCATCAGCTGTCTAGATGATTTCAAGAAAAAAGATCCACAAATCTATGACCAGACAGAGGGAAACAAAATAACAGCTACACTTCCTCACTGAGCGCACAACATGTTACAACATTTAGAATTGTATGTGATTATCACATCCTTGCCAGTATTCTTAGTATATATTCATGTTTGTAGTAAACTGTGTTTCCAGGGTCTGTAAAAGCTGGGGATGTAAATGTTGGTTTTCTTCCTATTCTTGTGCATTGCCCTCGGCCAGGATGACATTCTGATGCTTCCACCAGATGTCATCAAAGAAGTGAAATTCACAAACAACTCAACGGGGCTTTGATAGAAGCTGGAGGTTTATAAGTAGAGAACATGGAGCTGATGGATCCTCGTCTTCAAAATAGCTGATTGGTAGCTCATTTGTCCCTTCATATTATAAAAAGTCATAATGCACATTTATCTCAACAACAGGAGAAACAGCATCCATTATACAGTACAGGTATTACTCAGAAATGCCTTCATTTAATTTGTACATGGTGGCACTATAAGTATTATAGAACCGTTTTTTTAAGAAAAAAAAGTTTTAAACAATATACAAATATTTGTTTGTTATTATAATAAATTGTAATACATTGGTTTACATGTTGATTTGGCATTCTTTGTATTGGTGATGTCAAATACTTGACAACAAATGTAAACATTACAGTACAAATAAATATATAGGCCTACTTTTATTTCCTGAAGCTGTTACATGTTGGCGATCTGCTCTGGGGTCCTGTTCTGTTACCATGGAAACAGTAACCTGGAAACAAAGCACTGAAGAAAAACAATATCTTGATGTTAGATATTTATATATTTCTGTGTAGGTTAGTTGTGTTTTGTATTACCCACAGACTACATCAGAGGAACATACTGTATCACTGGAACACGTGAGTACTTATTCCCCAAGCAGTGTGTTTAAAATAATACCTGTTTCAGATGCAGAAAATAAGGGGCCTTTTTAAGCTAACCATTAATTAAGGCAAATGTGTGTGTGTTTGTGTGTACTTTTAAGTTATGTTTTACTTGTGCAGGTAAGGGAGTCAATCACAATGAAATGTATATTTATGTGGCCAAATATCATAAATTCACAATTTCAGGGGGCATAGGACACCCCTCTGTCCTAAGACATGCGGGTCTGTAGAGGTCCGCATCCGGCCCCATGTCTCGGTCCGGCCCTACAGAGAGCTGCGTCCCATGCCGCTGGAAGCCTCCCTAAAGCAGGAACCGGATAAACGGGATGAACGGAGGCTGGCAACAGGTGAAAGAAGCCTGCACACTTCAGGATATTGCAACAAAATCCGCTGGACCGTACCATCCTCACCCTCACTGATCCTGGAACAGCTGATGGATATCATGTGGATGAGGTGCGCGCAACATGGATTCATCCACAGGGAGCGCAGAGGATAGACATCACACCGCCTCTCCACTGAATGAATTCCCCAAAAAAGGATCAGGGAGGCAGGGCATAGCAGAGGGGGTAGGTGGAGAGCTCCAGGCGCCATAATCGCATCTCTGGATGTGAGGCTGAGGGATAGCCACAAAGCCCCGTGTGTCAGCAGCCTTATCACTATATGTGACCCGCAGGTTGACGCGGATTAATCGGTGTGTGTGTGTGTTATCAGGAGCAGCAGCCATGTCTCACGGATGGGGATACGGAGCGAATAACGGTGAGCTCAGTATGATGGGATGTTCAGGAGTAACAGGTGGACACGTGCTGCCCTACACTCTGTGTGCAGTGTGCAGTCAGTGCAGACCACTCCTCATTAACAATTACATTACTTAAATTATTACAAAGTGGTGTACAAAGTGTTCAGATCATTTAGGTAAAAGTAAAAATACTATACTGGAACAAAGACAAGTAAAAGTACTGCATTGAGAATACTACTTAAGTAAAAGTATTAATAGGGAAATGTAGTTAACGTTTTAGGATGAAAAGTGCTTAATGCATAAAAACTCAAATTTATTCAGATACAATTCTCAACTATTAAAAATAAAAGCAGCAAATCTTCACTTTTGAGAAACTGAAACGTTGTGAAATGTTTCTTAACTAAAAACTATTTGCAATATGACTGCTAATACATTTTTCGTCAACCCACTCATTGGTAATGTTTTGAATCAATATTGAAGCATAATTTCCTAGATCTTTCTAAGTGTTGTGTGTAAAACTCTGAACTTATAAGTACGTAGTAACTAAAAACGTAAGAAAAAGAAATTAAGTACAAAGTTAAGTGTTTCCCTTTGAAGTGCAGTGAAGTAGAAACATGAAGTTGCACAAAAACAAAATACTCAAGTAAAGTACACGTAGTTCTACCTCAAATGTGTACTTAAAGTGGACCTATCATGCTATATTTGAATAATATAGTGTAGGACCATACCTATATAAGGCATATTTATACTTTTTTTTTTTCAAAATACCAAACAGATCATGCATTTTAGCCATGCCTCATTTCGCTCAATTTGAAAAATGTTAGCTCTGTTTTTGCACGGTCTGATTCTGTGAGAACAGCACCATCTACTGGCCTGGCATATGTACTACAGCGTCTCCAGCGCTTTCGAACGGCAATGGCCGTGGCTGTCTCCTCCTGATTGGTGGAGTTGGCCCAATAGCCGTAGCGCCACCGTCCTGACGTCAGGACAGTGTTCAAATCTGGATCAGTTTTTATCAGATCCGTTGCAGCCCCTTTTTTAGAGATTTGGGTATGGAGGAAAATAGAGAGGGTTGTGTTTTCTGACACTTGGTGAGTTCCCTGGAACACCGGGGACACATATTCATGTATAAAAGACGTACAAAAGTGCATTTTGCATGATAGGTCCCCTTTAAATAAATATACTTATTTACTCTCTACCACTTTTATTACATAAGCCTACTTCAGTAATCAGGCAGGGTTGATAGTTAACTTTAATATTTAATGTACTTACTGGAAAAAAAAGAAAATATTTTATATCTTATGATTTTTTTAATTTGATTATATATTCATAACTTTTCAGAATCTGCTGGGCATGTTATGAATGTAGGTTTTGCAAAACAAACTTTTGCAAAACTTTTAAAAAGTGGACTTTCCACCTCACAGAATTACCAGCACATTCTATAACATTAACTTAATTGTTTGTTTATTTGAAT